GCTCCTGCTCCTGCTCCTGCTCCTGCTCCTGCTCCTGCTCCTGCTCCTCCTGCTCCTGCTCCTGCTCCTGCTCCTGCTCCTCCTGCTCCTGCTCCTGTTCCTGCTCCTGCTCCTCCTGCTCCTGCTCCTGCTCCTGCTCCTGCTCCTGCTCCTGCTCCTCCTGCTCCTGCTCCTGTTCCTGCTCCTGCTCCTCCTGCTCCTGCTCCTGCTCCTGCTCCTGCTCCTGCCCCTGCTCCTGCTCCTCCATCCTGTGATCAGTCCTTTGCGACCCCCGCATGCTAGGGTCCTGCTATGTTGCCCTGCCCGCCTCAGTTTCGGTGTCTGCCATCCATGTTGGCGGCGAATAGCACGGAGCAAGAGGAGCGCGGGAGGAGAGAGGGAGAGAGGAGAGAGGAGAGAGGAGGAGGGAGAGGAGGGAGCAGAGACGGAGACGAGCAGGAGCGAAGTTGAGAGGGAGGAGGTGAAGGAAGATCGGGAGGAGGAGAGTGCAGGGCAGACGAGAAGTTGCGAGGGAAGAAAGAGCAGCGGGTCGAGCAACCAGTGTGCGTGTGAGCAAGCGCTGGGAAGGTCAGCAGGTTTCCTTCTGCCATGTTCGGGTGTGTTTGCTGCGGGTACCTCTGCGTCTTGCGGTCAAGATGGTGCCTGCCGCGTGTGAAGGCCATCGGTGAGTGAAGGAGGGAAGTTGGGTCGCAGGAGGGGGCGATCCCCTGGGTTCCTGACTAGCCTCCTGCAGCTCTCAGCAAACTGGAGCAGTACGACATGGTTGCTGAGGAGGAGGAGGAGACGTTCAGGGGTGCCGTCCAGAGCCAGCTCTCCATGGGCAGCGAGGGCAGCGGCAAGCACAAACGGTTCGATGACGAGCTTTACCGCCTGACGAGGGAGAGGGCGAGGACGATGACGGTGGAGTCGTTGCAGCCGTCCTCAGTGAAGATGCAGGGCATGATGATAGAGACCCATCCTCAGGAGGCAGGGCATGACGATGTGACTTCGGAGGACAGCGTGCAGCACAAACCTCCCTCCCAAGAGCAGGAGGAGAGTTTCCCGCCGAGGCAGCACATGGAGAGCACGGGGTTGAGCAGCGAGGGCTCAACGGAGTTCATAGGGAAGATGCTCATCAGTGAGCCAGGGCTCCAGGGATCGGAAGAGATGTCCTCGGATGAGAGATCCGACAGAAACATAGGAGGAGATGTTGTAAGATTGATCGTCTGCTCCCTGCTCCCTGCTCCCTGCTCCCTGCTCCCTGCTCCCTGCTCCCTGCTCTCTGCTCCTCGTTGCTCGTTCATTTATCTTCCCCTCATCGCTTACCCGGTCTTCTTCTCTTCATTCCGATGGAGCTCCTCCTCTCCTTCTCTCCCTCCTCTCTAACCCACATTCTTGTCCCGCCTCTCCCTTCCTACAAACGTGCCTGCCTTCTCCTTTCCCGTTCTCCCCTTCTCTCGCCCACTCGCTCGGCTGACTACTCCCCCAACAAGGGGATGGTGGAATGGGAGGAAACATGGAGCGTCTCAGATGTTGGGACGGAAGTTGAAAGTGAGGGTACAGCCTCCTTCTGACTTCGTTCTCACCCGTCAACCTCACAGGAGAAGTGCAGACAACCATGGCGGAGACAACAAGGTGGGAAGTGACCTTGCTCGACGATCACTGTCACTGTCACTGTCACTGTCACTGTCACTGTCACTGTCTCTACCTCTTCTCTCTCCTCCTCCTCCTCTCTCTCTCTCTCTCTCTCTCTCTCTCCTCCCTCCACCCCTCGCCTCCCTCTCTGACGAGCGAGCAGCCAGGAGAGTAGCTCCAAGGGAGAGCAGAGGGGGAAGATTGTGGCGCCGAAGAATCTGCGAGACGTACCTGCACCCTCTCATTGCCATCGAATGACTTGATTTTCATGCAGAGAGCGAGAGAACTTCTCCACAAGCAAGGTGAAACCCGTCCTCGTCCTCGTCCTCGTCCTCGTCCTCGTCCTCGTCCTCGTCCTCGTCCTCGTTCCTCGTTCCTCTCTACTGACGAGATATTGACGCACAACAAATCAGAGGACCTCGAGGAGGCATCCCATCGAGAACCTGTGAGATTTCTATCTGTCTTGTTACTCTCAATCAGGTTTTAGCCTCTCCCATGGCCGTGATCTGGAATTGATGTGTTTTGCTGTCTTATTCCATGATTGTCCTCAATTGTTGTCCTTCATAATGGTCGTCCATAGCTGTACGTCATTGTCGTGTATCATTGTTTTGTATCATTGTTCTCTTTCGTGGTTTTCTCACAGTCTTATACAACACAACGATCCTAGAGATCTTGTCAGTGACTTCACGAGCTTGCAGGAACAAATCTCGGCAGCAGGGAGCTCGCAGAGGTCTCATGTGCACAACGAGCTCCCCGAGGAGATTCGAAGTTTGCATGAGATCGATGTGGAAGATGATCAAATGAGCGCGAGCGAACTGAGAAGCCGATATGTGAGTCTTTTAGATGCTTGAGTGAGATGATGGAGGTGGTTGTAACTACGACGATGATGAAGAAGGCGGATATGATTGTAGAGATGGTGCTGGCTATGATGGTGATGGTGATGGTGATGGTGATGGTGATGGTGATGGTGATGGTGATGGTGATGGTGATGGTGATGGTGATGGTGATGACGATGACGATGACGATGACGATGACGATGACGATGACGATGACGATGACGTTGATGATGAGGATGAGGATGATGACACTGACAAATAAGATGAAAGAAGTAGAGATAAGGGTGGAAACGATGATGCAGACGCTCGATGTCTTTGTGTTGCGGTCCATCCCGATGATCGTTCTTGGCACGCATCTCCACTCGATGTCATCAACACAGATCAACGCGCTTCCTCATGGTTTCTCACTCCTGCCGTCTCAGAACAAGTTGCATCCTCAGGCGAACTTTCACTCAGATCGCCGCCTGGGTGATGATGAAGTTTTTGACGGCGAGGCCTACGGCGACATGTCCCAGTCGACGGGCCTGCTGCCGGGAAGTCTGAGACATCAGGCCGGAACCTTCACCATGACCTTCGATCTCGGATGTGAGATGTTGTCTGTAGTGCCCCTTCCCCTCTCTCCCTCCTCCTCCTCTCCCTGCTGCTGCTGCTGCTTCCCCTTCTCCTTCTCCTGCTCCTGCTCCTGCTCCTGCTCCTGCTCCTGCTCCTGCTCCTTCTCCTGCTCATGCTCCTGCTCCTCGTGACCTACTCCTCTGTCGTCCTCTCTCTCCTCCTTGCTCATGTCCTCCGCCTCTGACGCCTGAGCTCAGCCATCAAGGAGCATGTCAAGGCGGCTGGCAATACCATCCTCTCCGTTCCCCCGCTGCCTCCCAACGAGGAGAGCCATCAGGTCAGACGCGTCGGCTCCTCCTCTGCCGCAGGCTGTCATGAGTCTTGAATTGACATCTGATCTCAACTGCGGCAGAGCAAGAGGAGCGAGAGGAAAGCTGCTAGCGGGAGGGAAGAAGCGTCCCAGACAGGTAGTCCTTCCTCCTCTCCTCTCCTCTCCTCTCCTCTCCTCTCCTCTCCTCTCCTCTCCTCTCCTCACCTCACCTCCTACTTGCTTCCATCCGCCCCTCCTCCTCCTCCCCACCTCCCTCCTTTCTCCCCTCCCTCCCGTTCCTTCACCTGTTCTTCCTTTCCAACACGTTCCTTCCTCCCTTTCCTTTCCCGTCTCGACCCCCTTCAACTACTTTCTCCTCCTTCTCATCCGCTGCCATCAGGAGCTCAGGGGTTCGCTCTCCTGCGCAACTCCTTGTCCATCTTGCGTGAAGATTTGACGGGGAAATGAAGCGAAACACACGTGAGAAAGTCAGTCCGACTGCCTCCGCCTACCTCCCTTCCTCCTCTGCCCACCCATCAGCCCCTCCTACCTCTCTTCATCTCTCCTCCGCTCACTCCCTCCTTTCCTATATGATTTCTCGAGCGTACATCTTGCCCTACCTCCGCCCCTTCTCCCCTCCCTCCCCTCCGTCTCTCGTTCCCCTCACCCTCAGCAAGAACAAGAGGCATCATAATCTATTTACAAGAAGGGGGGGGGGGGGGGAGGGGGGTCAGCAGTACTGAGGAGGATAGGGACCAATCGGTCGCTTCTCCAGGAAGTGCCAACACCAGGGATAGTCGACAGAAGCCTGCGTACCCTGTCAAAAGATCCTCCTTTCCCCTCCGCTCCCCGCTCCCCGCTCCCTGATCCCTCCCTCTCTATCTGCTTACATAAGGAGGAACTCTCCCCTTTAGCGCCACGGACAACTCGAAAGATATCCTGCTGCTAGAGGCGTCAGGCAAAGAAAGGATGATTGCTCTCGTTGCTTCTCCCTCCTCCTCCTCCTCCTCCTCCTCCTCCTCCTCGTCATCGTCCATATCCTCCTCCTCCTCTGCCGTACCTGAAGTGCGATCCAAATCCCCCGACGAAGTAATCTGTGCGCAAGGAGGGTCACAAGAGGTAGAGCATGCGAGGAGAGCCAGAAAGTTGAACTAGAGGGGGTGTAAAAGGGGAGAGGCAGGCAAGAAGGAAGATAGGCAAAGAGGGAAGGGAAGGAGGAGGGAGGGATGGATGGATGGATGGATGGATGGATGGAGGGAG